TGAAAACTCACTTTAGCATTAGAACACAATTCTCTCTTTTCTCTGACTTCAGATAGAAACTTTATGTACCAGATTTATAAATGCACCTGGGAAGTTTACAAACTGATATGCACATGTATAGCCTTTGTGAGAAACCAGCATCAACTGGTAAAAACAACATAGCAATGACCTCAGGAAATACAGTCCCAGCAAACCTTTGTAGAACATGTGGGGACCAAAACAAAGAAACACTTTAACAAGCCAATATCCATCTAAGGGGTTTCTTTTTCCACTTTGCTCTTCAAAAAGGTTAACAGAAGAACTCCCAGCTCAAGGAGTATATTGAGCACAACACAACCAATACAAACTGCACAGACCTGGACCACAACAACAGCAATCCCTTGGAAGAGCTTGTATAGAACTCTCAGCAGTTAATGCCCTGCATTCACAGTGTGTAAGCACAACAAAGATATGAACGTTCTGCAAGTAACACAGGATCTGTCAGCAATCTTCCCTGAGGAAATCTTACCCTTTGATGCTGACTCCTATACAGTGATTTGAGGATGGGGTTAATACCAGAGCTACACACAGAGACATATCCTCGCAAGACCTCATGGATTCTCAGGGGCAAGATAAACCATTTCTGTCCCAGATAATGGAGCCTAAAAAGGACTGTAAGTCATCTGTAATCTCACACATTGATGCTGTCAGAATTCATAACATGATTATTAATCATAATATGCAGACCCTCAGAGAGAAAACAACAAAGACTAAGTACAAGGTTAGTGTTCTGTACAACCTATGTGAAGAGATGTAAAAGATGCACTTAAACAACCAGCAAACAAGAGACTTAAAATAGAGGATCTGGAAAACAGAGCTAGAAGAAACAATATTTCTGCTGCAGCCTTTCCAGAACACAGCATCCATTTTTTTTAAATGGCTTAAATAGACTGGGTGAACAGCACTTTTTACCCTGTATGTTGATCAAGAGAGCACAAAGGGTCCATATCAGGCCACTACACCTGAAGCTTCATCTACGCATCAGATTGTAACAACTTGGTTCATGAAAACTAAACAAAAAGCGCCAGGGACAACCACTCCTCCAAAGGATTTAGCATGGGTGCATACTGCAGGATGCTGCCCCACGTCAGCCAGGGAGACTGTAGTATCTGGAAGAAAGCACAAAAAAGAGGGGCGCCTTCCCTAGTGCAGATACGTTTTATTCAGGTACAGGCAAACAGTAAAAATGGTACTCACAAAAGTCATCAGATAAAAGCCTTAGGATCAAGAACCAGGATGAGGCAAATGGAAGTTTTGACAGGACAGTTCCTGTGTGCCAATAGCCATCGTTGACGCGTTTCCGGGACAAGCCCGCTTTGTCAGAACATAGCCTCCCCCTTCCTCTCCATGTAATAAATAGTATAAGGCGTCCAATCGGACCAAGTATAATTAGAGATGTTGGTCTGATATGTTTTACAGTTTTTATGCATGATTGTACTGCTGGTTGTGAGCCGGGCATGCACCCAGTAAGCGGAGTTGAAGAAGACCAACATGTAGTAGCACTTCCTTCTGCCATTCCTTTTTAATGTTGCCATTGAACTGCTTTGTTAATTGATCCATGTATATTTAATTCAAGATAAGGGTGCTAAAGCACATGATATCCCTTTATAATAACCACAACTTGGTGCACTTTGCAGAATATGAGAGGTCCCTTCTTGCACTACTGGCACAAATACACTAACTGCATCCTGGGACAATCATCTGTCCCTAACTACGGGTCATTTTTGGATGTCCGATTACATCCAAGTAGCTTTGGCTGCCGTTAGCCTGTCATGACTTTTTATAGGCTGAGCGGCAACAGCTATTCACAAACACAAGATATTCTGGCCTGCATATTCTTGCTGCCGGAATTTGCAATAAAGCCCTAATCGCAAGTGTGAATGGGGCGTTATTGAAGAGTTTGGCTCCTATTAAGAAAAGGTCTAATTCTAATACAGAACCACAGATCAACTCACCCTCCCTGGTAATCTGAGAACTGCTGGCAAAAGGTGGTACCCAACTTCACTTTTCTCTGCATATGTGAGTAATAACATATGAAAAATAGGACATGCGGTGTATTGCTTTGACTCAATGGTTTCTTATGCATTTAGAATTGATCTGAACAGGAAGTGAGGAAGTATAACAGGATTGATCTGAACAGGAAGTGAGGAAGAAAGCAGCTACATTCCTATTTTGCAGTCAGCTGGTCCTTCCTCTTATACATCGATTACAGTACAATAAACTGTAAACATGTCTTTCTCTAAACACATTTAAACCCATATATAACATTTTAGTATGCTTTTTAGTCTATTAATAGGTAAATAAATACAAGTTGAGTGGAAGCCATTTTCCATCAACGATACATTTTTTTTTCGGATATGGTCTTCTTTGTACAGCAGTAGGTGTTATGCTGACCTGACAGCATTTTGAGAAGGGAAAGGGAGACTTTTTAGTCCCAAAATGTTTCCATGAATACATGCACCTGACAACCTCCCAGTGTTACTACCGTCATTGTAGACACTAGGGATGCACCGATACTTTTCGAGTACCAATGCCGATACTTGGCATTTTCAAAAGAACTACCAGGGTTGCAGCTGGGACCTAGGTCTATCACTCCACCACTGTCCTGAAATTATTAGTCTGTATTGTTTTAGAAAAACTGTCACATGACAATGAACAAAAATGTATCAGTACTCATACTTGTAAGTACTTGGGCAAGTATCAGTACTTGTACTTGGAAAAATAGTATCGATGCATCCCTTTATTTATATTTATAAAAACAAAATCGTACATTAAAACTGAGATGTACAAATCCCAGGAGCTGCGTGTGCTCCTTACAAATGACAGCTGCCTCCTAATTTTTGAATTTTTCTCTAGTCTAGTCTTGGAGCTGGAAAAGTATCTGCACTTGTCCTTGTACTTGTACCGAGTACGGTACTTGGTATCGGTGCATCCCTAGTAGACACACTTTAATGCATTAACTGGCATTTCAACTGATTAACATTAACAAAACAAATTACATCAAGGTAAACAAATCAGTTAACAGATCCAATGGCAGTGATAGGGCTTGACAGCTCTGCTGCCCCACAAGTTTCCCCTTGTTTCTACAGCTAGAAACTAAAAGCAAACACCTGACAAGCTTAGGACAGTACTGCTTTTTCTCCTTTACCTTTAAGGAGAACTATGAGGTGAGTGCTTTTCACTCATAGTGTCTTATTTTCGGGGAAACACGGTACTAACATGTTGACTAGGGTTGCTGTTTGTGTTAAATTTGCCCTGAATATTGAAGATTCAGTTTTGAAAAGCTAGAACTGAATTTGTTGTGTTTTCCCCTTTTTTGTACCATTCCAGGCCACAATCCTTTCAATATTGAGTGGTACCTTGCAATGAGGTGCCGCAAGGACTCTCCCTTTGCAAAATACCCTTGTCACAATGTTGTGGGACAAGGGTTTCTTCCCCACCTCCATGGGCCCAAAAAGCAAGGTGCTCTAATATGAAGGACTTATGGTGGAATCTGGAAGCCAGATATCCACCCCTTCCCAGGAGAATGAGTACAAGTGAACATTAGAAGATTAGAAGATTAGAGGGAAATATCCCTCTGACCGGAAGTTCTGGTATTGGGGGTAAATATTGGAGCATTTGGGCGAATACGAGTACTCACCCAAGTACTCAGTATCGGCACCGATACTAGTATCGGTGCATCCTTACTTACATTATTCAACAATACAGAAATTTACTTTTAAGGTGTATGATAACGGAAAACATCACCGTATATAAAATTCTTAGATTTTTATTTTTATGTATTAATATGTAGAAATAAAACTCTAAGAATTTTATATACGGTGATGTTTTCCATTATGGTACACCTTAGAAGTCCATTTCTGTATTGTTGAAAATGGTAAGTATCTCTAATGAGATCTATTTTGCTTTACTGGGGAGCATTAGTACCCCTTACACATTTGCACCAAGAGTTAAAAGTAAAAAAATACACCAAATTAGAACTCCTTTCATTAAATGAAACACCCCTTTCATTTCAAAACCCGAAACATGGTGGCTGTCTGTGTTGCATCTTTATGAACAAATATCAATATTGAAAGCTGTTATACTTTGAGATCTTTGTTTTTCTAATTGGACTTTGTATGCGGGCATAGACTGTATTAAGGTTGTGGGTAGTACCTATACTTTATCTCAGGTGATGTTCAGTAGAATACTAACTACTGACAAATGGCCCCTAGAGGAAGGATAACAAATAAATCTGTATATGAATTTAGATAATACGAATATGGTACATCAAACCCATAAAAATAACAAAGATTTATAAACAAAATACAGAATAATACCTCAAAATAAGGACACACACTTAAAATACGCTATAGTTTAGTTTCAATTTTGTATGAGCCCATTCTGTAAACTGGAAATAATTGCATTGTTAACTTTTGAATGCCTGACAAAGTAACCCATAGCAATCAATCAAATATGTTTTTATCCAACTTCAGGAATATTTTGACTTTAGATGGGTCTAGGTAGCATTTTTTATTTCTATAAAATCACCAGTGCATGTATGCATTATAATATTTATGTTGATTGTTGTGGGTGTCTGCCATTTATATGTAAAGTATTACTGGTCTGTCTGTGTATGAAGTTACAAAGTATAACCAATCGCAAAGGCATACATTCTGACTAAGACTTTAAAGACCTCTTTATACCATTTCAAAGGGTTGGAAAGCATGCTATAGCTAAGTTAGTGGGCAATGAAAACAAAAGCAACTTATTTAAAGACATACAGTAAAGGCATGACTGGAAAACACAGTGCACCTGTGAAAGCCTAAACAGTGAAGGAAACTGAAAAAGTATTGAAGAACAAGCTAGTATTGGATCGGACAAAATGGTGCATATTACTGCGTATTTTATAAAATAACCTGCATAATAATTGTAAAATTGCAGTTATGTTCATTGTTTTTGTCTTTTTGCATTGTTTTTAGCTATACAAACCTGGTGGTTTCAAGTGATTTTAAAGATCAAGTGAACAACCCAGAAGTTAAAGTACGAGGGTCCAATGTAATCATCAATCAAGTCATCAATAAGCTGCGGCTCTTCATACAGGTATGGACGCTCACTTAAAAAATGTTTTTAAAAAATGGATGATGGTTGTTGGGATTGCAACTTAGATAGTTACATAGTTACATAGTATTTGAGGTTGAATAAAGACACATGTCCATCAAGTCCAACCTATTGTGTGTGTGTGTGTGTGTGTGTGTGTGTATAGATCCCTGAGTCATCTCGTTATTAGGAGTACTTGTACCCCTGTATATTACCGTTTCTCAGGAAATCGTCCAAAAGCTTCTTGAACGATTCCACACTATTAGCTGAAATCACTGCTTGTGGCAACGAGTTCCAGACCCTAACCGCTCGAACTGAGAAGAACCCCCTTCGCCCCTTGTGTTTGAATTTTTTTTCTACCAGTTTCAGGTGGTGGCCTCTAGTCTTTGTTACGGAATTAATCGTAAAGAGTTTGTTGCTAATGTCGCTATGACTATAGAACATTTTGTACATGAAAATCATGTCCCTCCTTAATCTCCTTAATTCCAGCGTGAACATATTTAAATTTAGTAACCGTGTCTCATAGCTCTTGTCCTCCATCCCTTTGATGAGTTTGGTCGCCCTTCGCTGGACTTTCTCCAGTTCAAGGACATCCCCTCTGTGTACCGGTGCCCAAAACTGCACCGCATACTCCAGGTGGGGCCGAACCATTAATATGTAAAGTGGCAAAATTATAGACTTATCCCTGCAAAACATTCCCTTCTTGATGCAGGACAGGACTCTACTAGCTTTGCTTACCGCAACCTGGCACTGTAATTTATTATTCAGTTTATGGTCTACAATGACCCCCAAATCTTTCTCCATTTCAGACTTCCCTAGCGGCATACCCATTCTTGTATAACCCATTTGCTTGTTTTTATCCCAAATCCCAATTTCTGATTTTTCACTACCAGCCTGTGATTTCTTTGTATTCATAGCAAGTAGCAAATACCATTATTATACCACAAACCTTAGTGTGTTACTAGATAAAACCTCTGCTAAAATTGGACAAGCACTGTACTGAGGCCTCAACTTTGCCAAACCCTTCCCACTACCCCATGTGGTTGACTGTAGCTCAGCATCTACAACCCACAGTAGTGCATTACCATGCATTATGGTGCATTGCAAGGCATGTTCTTTGGAGCTTTGTTTCCTTGTATTGGGGTGGTATTCAAAATACAACGTGTTTTCCTGTGTGTTATGGCAATGCACGTGGTACGTGCCATGGGGTATTATTTTGGACTTTTTTAAATGTATATTTTTTGGATTTATTGGTATTTATATTATTATATTTTGTAAATTATTGAATATTTAAAATGCCTTTTTGTAGGTTAAACAGTCTTTTTTTTTTTTGCAAGGCTTTCCTTGTGTGCTTTTGTTTCAGGGGTGGTATTTTGGGGTCTTCATTTCTGTTGAGGTTTTTTATTTCATGTTGATATGGCCGTTATTAGGTTTGGGGTGCTCAAAGCACAGCATTCACTTGTCCATTGACCGTTTATTCTTGAAGCAGTCACAGCAAACAAACAAAAAATAAGTGCACGATCAACATGCACCTAAACCACCTCACATTTTATTACCCCCCATCCCCGTAGATAAAATAAAAGTTAGGCATACAATGGTTAGGCCTATTATCCCTGATTAAAACTGTCTTGCTGCTGGCCAATTTTACACTCCTGTATCGCCTGCAGTATCCTAATTCTTGTAGTAAAACTCCAGCCTGTGCTCTTTGTCTCTGGTAAATTTGGGCGTAGCCTTCCTATTTAAATTTGTCCTTCTGCTGGCCAATTTTATACTGATGTATCATCTAAGTTATCTTCATTCTTAATGAAAGCTTGATAAAACACGGATAGTGGCAGGACAGTTTTTCATCAGTGAGAGTAGGAACAGCCTCAGCAAACTATTGGCCAATTCTTGTTGTTGATTATAGTGGACCTATTAATATTTGATTAAATGCATGGGCCTTACCTGAAAAAAAGCCTTTCTTCAAATGAAATACATCAGATTGGGTTTCTGCTCATGTATGTAAGCCAACCTAAATGTAAAAGAAAAAGTGAAAAATCCACAGCTATGTATGTGCTTCCAGTATATGCTCTTACTAAGATTGGTATATTTTCAATGTTGCCCTGGAAGCCACATAAAAACCCTCTCCCTGCTGTACAGTATGTTGTGCATAGGTTTAGCATCCAAATGCTTTTTTTTTTACAATAGTTTGCCTATTGGCAATCAGGTTTCCCCCCTAACAGATTTCAGTTAGATTAGCAGCTAGGTTTAGGTTTGCTGAGTTTCAAACAGGGTTCCCAAACCATTGGGTAGACCTGGGCAGATTCGCTCATCCCGAGCAATTGGGCATCATGACTTATTTCATTGTTTCGCTGTTACTGATGGGTTTTGATGATCAGGCCAAAATGGATTCCACAACATTGCCTTGAACAATCATCTTATACTTTATTGGTCTTGTATAGCAGCACAGGTGACATAGTATATCCATCCCATTAATATAATAATGACATAGCTAAGGCTGGGCACACACCTTACAACCATCGCAAGACTTTTGTCTTGTGATGGTTGTAAGGTACTTAAAAAAACGTACGATCTGCCTATGTTGCACCCCCTGAGGGGCGGGCTTCCGGTGACCGCAATGCCGAACGGGCAGTGTGCGCTTGCGCACACCGGCCCGTATGGCTGTTATCATACGGACATGCCACAAACCCGCCGAACATTGTACGATGCTCGGCGGGTTTTCGAACATGTCCATAAGTTTAAAGTCGTGCGACCTTACAGTAGTAGAGGTCGCACGCCTTCCACACACCTTACGATAATTGTACGATCGCGGGATTTCCCGCGATTATCGTACAATTATCGTAAGGTGTGTGGGGACCTTAAGTGTCACCATTGTGCCAATGTACTGTCTGTTCTGGATTCTACCTTTGTAAATTTCCCAGTAGGGGTTTCATTGTCCTGCTTGCTCAAGTATGTTAGGCTTAAAAGACTTTGATTATAACTATAAATTATTAACTTCTGTCTGGGCAATGCCAAACACAACTAAACCAAGG